TCCAGGGCGAGACCTTTAATAGACTGTAGTCACCCACTTGGAACTCCAAGGGTTTGCGTCTTTTATCCGCATAGCTCTTTTGCCGGTCCCTCGATGCTTTCAACCGTTCACGGATTTGGATGATCTTCTCCATTGTCTCCCTTATGATCTTGGGGCCAGTGAGAGTGTTGTCTAGAACTTGCCCCTTTGCTAGCTACGTGTCACCCACTTCAATTTCATTAAAGGAACTACCTTCTAATTTCAAATTTTCAAAATTTCAATATTAAAGCCCATTAGTTCCCTTTGTTTATTTATCTAAATTATCTGTTAAATTAAAAGAGAAAAAAACACTTCAATTTTAATAATTCAATATTTTTCTTATTTTTCTTATAAATTCTAACTTTTCAAATATATATATATATATATATATATATATATATATATATATATATATATATATATATATATATATATATAAACCCATGTAATACATGAGTCTCACAACTAGTGCTTAATAAACTAATCAGAAACTAGTTTTAGAATTAATTAATTCAAAGGGGTTGAATATTAATTAAATTAAAAGATTGACTAATTTGAGTGTTCCAGAATCCCTTAAGGATAAAGGGAAATTCAAAATTCCTTCCGTCTCATATAGGATGAGAAATGAAACTTAGGTAAACATCTAAGGCTATAAATACAATGTTACAAATTTCATTCTTCATTGATCATTCGCTTGATTTTTGTGCACTTCCCTTCTTCCTCTCCTTATGGGACGATTTCCAAACCCTTCTAGGGTTTGTGAGATTAATCATTCTTATAGTTTCTTTTGGTTCTCTATTTGGAGTCTTGGGTGTGATTCCACTAGAGAGATTTTGGTTTGGGTCCTATCATCTAAGCAGCATGGTTTTGTTAAGAAGGTTCAAGAAGGGTTATAGAATATCAAGATCAAAGAAGAGCTATGTAATTATGTCCTTTTTAATAAATTTATAGTTTTATAAGTAGGTTTCTATAATAGTAAAAACTTAAATCCTTAGGGTGCATGTACACATATGGTTAATTTTTGTTTGTTTCCATAACTAGTGTGTATAGATTGCTAGAAAACCCATTAAGGTGGTGGCATGGTGTAAGGAAAAGCGTAAGAAAGCTATGATTTTTAAAGTTGATTTCGAAAAAGCTTATGATTTGGTTTGGTGGGATTTTCTTGATGATGTTCTTGAAAATATGATTTTTTTTGTGTTAAATGGAAAATATTCATACAAAGGTGTTTGTGATCTTCGTGAGTTCGGTTCTGGTCCATGGTTCTGCGACGGATGAGTTCCATTTTTTGCGGGGATGCCATTAAGGAGATCCTCTATTACCTTTTATTTTCATATTGATTATGGAAATATTACATGTGGCTTTTCAAGGTGTTATTGATGGTAATTTGTTTTCTAGTGTCTCTATTGGTAATGATGCTCCTATTTTTGACTCACACTTATTTTATGCTAATGATGCTATCTTTGTGGGTGAATGGAAGGAGTCAATTATATCTACCCTTGTTCGGGTTCTTCATTGTTTTTATTTAGCATCGGGGTTGAAGATAAATCTTCAAAAAAATATATTTTGAAGTATTGTCATGCTTAACATGGAGATTGGAGCTGCGATGGAGACTATTGAAAGCACAAACATGAAGATTCCTTTTCACTATATGGGTCTTTTGGTTGGAGGTAATATGTATAAGCTTCATTCTTGGAGAGATATGGTTCAAAAAGTAGTGGCTAAACTTTCTAATTGGCAAGTTACAACTAATTCGGTGGGAGGAAGATTGACCCTTTTGACGTCTAGGTTCTCTTCCAACTTACTTTATATCTTTGTATAAGACCCCGATTCGAATTTTAAATAAGTTGGAATCTCTAAGAAACAATTTTTTTAGTATGGCTAATTTATATGAAAGAAAATTGACATGGATAAGTTGGCAGGAAGTGTCTCAAAAGAGGGTGGGTGGTCTTGGTGTGAGTAGTTTTATGGCCCTAAACAAACCTCTTCTTTTTAAGTGGGTTTAATGGTTTAAATCTTACCTGTATTTTTTTGGGTTAGAGTTATTAAAGTTGTCTATGGTCCTTAATGCCTTATTGGGAGTTGCTTAATCCCTAATAAGAACTTTCTTCGGATGGTTGTGCTCAAAGCAATGAAGCAACTTGAAAATCATGGGATAAAAATATTAGCTTTGTGTAACAAGTATCTTGGTGAAAGGTCTTTTACTGAATTTTAGGATGATGTATGGTTAGGGATTTGGCTTTGAAGTTGAAATATTCTATACTTTACACCATGGAGTTGGATAAGCATATCATTGTTAAAAGAAAGATGTAGAAATGTTATATAACTATGCTTTTTCGCTGGAATCCAAGGGGTGGGGTCGAGAATAGCCAATGGAAGGGTCTTAGAGAATCTCTTAGTGTGGTCTCCCTGACTAATATTCGTGACATATGGTCATGGTCTCTTTTTGGGTCTGGTGACTTTTCTAGTGGCTTTGGCCGTGGTTTAACAGATGATCAATTGTTGCTTTCTTCGTTAATACCCACATGTTGGATTCGCCTTACTCCTATTAATGTTAATTTTTTTCTTGGCACTTGGCTTTAGATAGATTACCTTCATGAGTGAACCTTAACAGATGGGGATTGAATATTCCTTCTTTGTTGTGACCTAATTGTGATGGCGCTAACGAATATGTTGCACACTTATTCTTTCTTTGTTCCATGGCTACGTCGTTGTCTATACATGTTATTAGGTGGTGGGACTTTACAATTTCGATCATTTCTTCTTATGCCGATTGGTTGGTTTGGTTCTCGACATTACGGCTTAATGGAAATGCAAAGAAGTACTTGGAGGGTGTGTTCTATGTGATGTGATGACATATTTGGTTATTCTGGAATGCTCGTGTGTTTGGTGTCCAAAAACCAAAGGCAACATGTCTTCGACAAAATTGTAACTCATGCTTATTTATGGTGTAATTCTAGAAGTAGGAAAAGTATGAACCTGATAGGTTGGTTTTAAAACACAATGATCACAATTTCCTGATGTGTTTCTTTGGCTAGTTACTTGCTTGTCTTCTTTTAATAAAATATGTCGTTCAAAAAAGAACTACATTACGTTTCATTCACACAAAAACCAAGTGTTTATCCATTTGTCAAAACATATTTACACATCTTAAAATGAATAAAAATTAAAATTAAAATTAAAAACCTTTTATTTGTGTAAAATCTTGAAATTAAAATTAACTTAAAACACAATACATTTATAAAATTTGAATAAAACATACAACTTTCATTTATATTATAGAATGAAAAAATTCTTATAAAAAAATTTAGATTACCTCTTTTATGTTTAAAAAGACACGTGAGTCATCATATTGTATTTTTCTTAAAACCATTCTACTTATATTTTTATTTTTTAAAATTGTTTTATTTTCTGACCTTGCCTAAATTAATAATTCATGATCATTTTATATTCTAAACTTTTTAAGAAATTTTGGGTTTGACCTTAGGAGTTAGGATGCACGAAGTCGTCCGGGAAGAAGAGACGGATGAGGGAGGTATCGTTGGTCCTTCATGAACACCATCCGATGTTGTGTAAGACCATATGAATACCACATTTCGGCGGGTTATTGAACCTGTTTCACCCTTAAAAGCCTAAGCAATAACTAGTTGTAAGTTGTGCTGTATTGAAGTGTATGAGTTGAAAGATATGTATTTTTAAGTGTTTAATATTAGAGGGTTGCAATTAAAAACAGAAAGAAGTGGTATCTGACGTCTATACGGTATGTGGGATGAAAAAGCAGGAAGAATGGAGTCATTCATCTTTATAATGATATTGTATAAATTTTAATAGATTATATATATATAATTATATCTCATTGATCTTATGGAATAGTAACCTTTAGTGTGTTATACTTTTGGCCAATATTTCATATACTTTGGCAACTTTGGTCTGTCTCCTAAGATTTTGACATACAGTAACCTTTAGTGGGTCACACTTTTGGTCCTATATTTCCTATACTTTTGTCAACTTTCGTCCGTCTCCTAAGATTTTGACGGGTGTTGCTAATAAGACACCTTTTAGACACCCTATTATCACTTTTATAAAAAATCAATCTATAATCAACTACTTATAATCAGTTTTTTCGGAAAACAATGCAATTTCAACCAATAAAAATATTTTAAAAATTAATTAGGGTGTCCATATGGTGAATTGGGGTGTCTTATTAGCCAACCCCGATTTTGACATGTAACTCACCGCATCTTGTAAATAATTAATTCACATAACACTTTTGGTCCAATGGCTTCGATTTTCTCTACTATTTGCCAAAAAGGTTTCAAGAGTTTGTCATTTTTTTGTTTCTGACATTTATCAAATCTGACACCTCAAGTTTTTTGCCACATTAGTTTGTGGAGTTGACGCTTTTGGTCCCTCACCTTTGATATTCTACTATACGACCATACTTTCCTCAAAACATTATACACATAGAAAAGAAACAACAAACGAAAAAAAAAAACTAAAAAAACACCGAAATATGTAAACATGAAAAAAAAATTCGGACCGTCTCGAAGAAGCACGGATCACTTATAGTTTAAATGAATGAAATCATGTTATTATACATTTATTATAAGAGAAATTAAATATCCTTATACTTTTTTTTTCTTACAAATCTTCCTACCCAATTAAATAGTGACATTTGTAATATTTAATGCTCATTTAATAAAAGTTAATGATATTTTATTATACTAATATGACAAACCTAATCATTTAAATGGACAAGAGTATTGATAGGAACAAAAAAGTAAAAATATATTTAATTTCTCTTATTTTAATAAAATAAATTAAAGTTAAATAGACAACACTATCTTTGACACAATAAAATATATAAAAAATCTACAAAATTAAACATAATCTAAAAATATTTATTTTGATTTAATAGTAATAGTAGAAATATTTTACGGCTACAATTGCACATATAAATACGCGCACGGATTCACCAACCCATCAAAGAATTCATTAATTGTAAGCAACAAAAAGTGTTCTTAGAAAAACCAAACTACACAACCCTCAAAATCCTCATCCCAAATCCATTCACAAACTCAATCGCCAAAATCTAGAGATTATAAACTTTCAAGTCGAAGATTTAGAGGTAGAAACCCCAAATCCATATCTATCAGTTGTCAGACCGATTCAATTTTGATGTATCATCAAGACACCGACTGGGCAATCGACGCCGCGGCGGCGGTAGCGGCGGAGTCTACATGGACACGATACGAAGATAAGTTGTTTGAGGACGCGTTGGTGATGTTCCCAGACGATGTAATCGGACGGTGGCAGAAGATCGCCGATGCGGTGCCGGGTAAGACGGCGGAACAGGTCAGAGCTCATTACGAGGTGTTGGTACATGATTTGCTTCAGATTGATTCCGGTCAAGTGGAGTTACCAAGTTACGCCGATGATGATGGCGACGAGTCGTTTCTGAGTTGGGACCCCGAGTTGCGAGCGAGTCAGATCTCGTTTGGAATGACAAAAGGATCTAAACATGGAGATGGTGAAAGAAAGAAAGGGACACCATGGACGGAAGAAGAACACAGGTACTTTCTGCTTAATTACTTATACATTTTGATCAATTCCATTCCACCATTTCATATCCCAAATTTGTGATTCTATATTGAATTGTGGATAATTTTGATTCGAATTTTACTTTGTCAACAGATTATTTCTGATCGGACTGCAACGGTACGGAAAGGGAGACTGGCGGAGCATTTCAAGAAACGTTGTCGTTTCACGGACGCCAACACAAGTCGCTAGTCACGCTCAGAAGTATTTTCTCCGGCAGAATTCGATGAAGAAAGAAAGGAAAAGATCAAGCATCCATGACATCACCACCACCACAGACACCATCGCGGTGCCGCCACCGCCACCACCATCGACGAACTTCCAAGGAGGAGCAACACCGCAATTGGGGTATGAACGTCAACACAACTTTGGCTACCCTATGTAAAATTAAAACTTAAACATCCGTACAAATTACAAAACTAGCCATACATATAATAGGACAAATTTACCCTCCCATTTTAACATTCCAATATAAATTTGTAAAGTTTTAGTTTTTTTTGAGAGTTTGAGACACAAGAGATTTAGATATTAGAGTATTTAGGGTGTTTGGATGTGAATTCTAGTGTGATTAATGTAGTTTTAAAACTCGGAATCAAACAATTATTTTATTAATTGTTATGATTAGTTTGATAAGTTAATATTTATAGTACGGAGTTGAATGGAATATATTTATGGGATTGAGTTTTTAATCTTTTAATTTAAGTTTTCAAGTTTTATAAAAATTGTGAATACCAAGACAATAGGGACATAGGAGATAGAATGATGTTGATGGCAAATGGAGCTTTTGACTATTGGATAAGTCATTGACTTGTGAAAATGAAATATTTTTTGGCTCATTCTATCACATATTCGGCTATTCGCAATCAAAATCTATTTTTCTTCCCTTGCAAGTACTTCAAGATTTGGTAGTTATTCATTTTCATGTGTTTGGTTGTTGGATTAACTTGGAGTGTATTTTGTTTAATGTCGTTTTCAATATTTATTGTCATTCTTTGTATATTACGACAGATGTGTAACCTCTTTGAATGTGTGGTTGTTGTCATTGATTGATCAAGATATATCTTGTCCAAGTTTCTATCAATAATCTTTAAAGAATGTTTCGTAATTCGTACTTGATTATTTCAAATAAAAAACGACATTTTCTAGGGTTGGAAATCAGCCATGAGTCCTTGACTTTATGGGATTCAAAATTAGATTAATTATAGCCTCAAAGATTTCTTGAAGATTCTAAACTTGTCATGATGTGCAAGAATAAGGAGATTCTTGATCTTAATTTGAAGTATATTGGAGGAGTATGTGCAATGTTGCTTAAGTGCAGGTGGAGGATTCTGTTGGTAGTTATATGGTTGCATTTAAGAATAAGCTTCATATGATTAAATATAATGTAGGAGTTTGGTACTTAGAAAGAAAAAAAAAATCCAAGGACCTAAAGAAAAAGATTTAAAAAGAAACTCAAAAGACATCAATGCCATCTAAAGAGGTATTGTGACTTGGGATGAGTTGGAATTGAATATTAATTATGTTAAAGAATTAGGGGATATGGAATGAATGTAAAAACCCAGATTTAGCTTCAGAACTAAAATTTGGTGGGAGATCCAAAGTGATAGAACATTTTTTTTTCGAGAGTATTATAAAACAAAAAGGGAGACAAGTTTTTTTATTCATGGTATTATGGTAGATGAGTTCTCAAAACCATCCCGTAGAGTCGCAAAAATTGATATAACAATTCAATTCGAATCCAATTCAAAATTAACAGGGATTGAAATTTTCAACTCATTTAAGTTAAATGGGTCAATCCATCTCACTAGTTAAATTAAATATGTTGGATTTAGTAAAAATTATCAACATGTTTTTAACCCGTCAACTCATTCAACAAAAATATATAATTTAATAAATATTTAAATATCATTATGTATTATTATTTATGTTTAAAAATAATGCAGTCTAGTTATTTCTATTTATGAATTGAAATTATGTTTTTGTTATTGAAATTTTATTTAAGTTTGTAACTAATTTAAGTGGTAAATTTGCTAGTTAATTAACTTATTTTTGGTTTTAAATAAATTAACCCAAGTTTAATCTATTAATTTAATAGGTTGAGTTGGAAACTACTTAAACAAGTCAATCCATTATCCATGGACAACTCGTTTATCTAAAAAGTTGGATTGGATTGGAATTTTCAACCCAGTTAATAAATGGATTGAATCCGAACACAACTCAAGTCCACTCATTGTCAACTCTACCTTCATGTGTCAAAGATGAATTCCACTCGTATTTTCTAAAAACTTTAGGTTGATCGAGAGGCTCAACCTTCACAAGAAACCGAATTATATACCAATAGTTGTAGCGACCAACTTTCTAACATTGATGCCTCTTTTAGATGCGAGGAGATTAAAACACTTGTGTGTGATTTTGGTTATGTAAAATCACATGGCCCTAATGGATATACATTTGAGTTCTTTAATATTCTTGAGGTGGATGCCACAATGTTGTTCCAATATTTTAGTTTCATTTTGAAGGAGTGTAATCCGTCCCTTTTATTTCACATTAAAAGTTCTAAACCCCAAGTTTATAAAAGATTATTATCACAAAATCCTTTATTTGCTATGGATTGTTATGAAATTTATGGAAATTCAGAAACAAACAGATATTTCAACTGGAGAGTACATCACCACCGAGCAGGACTGAATGCATTAAGTCCATGGTATACTATTGGTTAAAACACAATGGTAAAAATGTAATTGGGATGATTTGTTAGTATCTCCTTTTGCTGGTTTGTAACTATCTAACTCTTTGTATCTTGTTAATTGGTCCCTCATCTAGTTACTTGCTAGGTGGGGGTTCCTCTCTTATAATATATTGCCGTTTCAAAAAAAAAAAACATAATCCTTATAGGTTTATATTAAAAAATTATTGGTAAACTTTTGACTAATCGTCTTGTGAGGTGATTGGGACGTGGTTAATAACTTAACATGAAGCAATCCATCTTCATTAAATGACATCACATTTTAGATGACCTTTGGATATTGAATGAAGTTATGAGTTTATATAAACAAGAAACGAAAGAAGTTAACGATGTTTAAAGTTGATTTCTAAAAATAATATGATTCATTGTCTTGGGGATTATCTATATGAAGTGCTCTAAAAGATTGGGTCCGGTTTGAAATGGATGGGTTGGATTTGTGCTTGTGTAAACTTTTGTATGCCTTTCATTTTGGTTAATGGGTCTCTGCATAATGAATTTAAAACTGAACGGGGTTTATGACAAGGTGATTTGTTATCCAATTATCGCTACGAGAGGTCTTCATGTCGCTTTACCAAAAATTTATTTCTCATGAGTTATTTTTCTTGGAGCTAAAATGGGTAGCACATGTTTGGCTATTTCCATTTTTATACGGATGACATTATGTTTCTAGGTGATTGGTCGCAAAGATAAGTCTAGAGGCATTTAAGGATTCCCAAATATGTCTATCTAGCTTCCGTTATAAAATCAACTTTGATGTTGGAGTTGCTTTTCATGAGGTTGAAAATCATGGATGATCCTTAATATGATTTTGGTATCTCAGATTTCCGGTAGGAACTAACATGTCTCGCGTTGAAGGTTGGAAGGTGGTAATAAAAAAGTTAACTACTAACTTTCTAATTGGAAGTTCAAGACTTTATCGGCGGGTAGTGGACTTAATATGCTTTAATCCATTTTGGGAAGTATTAAGATCTAATACGTGTCCATGTTTAAACCACCATAGATAGTCATTTATAGAGTTGGAATCATGATGAAGCAGTTTTTCTGAGGAGTTTTGGTTTTTGTTTTTATCTTGAGGTAGTTGGAAAATGTGTTAGCTTGCAAAGAAGAATGTGGTCTTGGAATTCGAAGCGTGCTTGCATTTAATAGGGCTTTTCTTTTCAAATGGAGATGACATTTTCTTGAAGATGATGATGCTTTGTGGGTTGGAGTTATCATAGCTATTAATGGAGAATATGGTCGTTTAGGACAAATTTTGTAACTTATGCTAACAATAAACCGGAAAGAGAAGTTTTTGTAATGGAACCGCAATTACCGATTTACCATCTTTAAACAAATTTTGACTAATGGTGTTTTAGTGTTAGAGATTTAAACCATCAAATTGGCAAAGGCCATTACAATGCTTGTACATTACTCTCAAAACAAGTTATTAGTAAAAATGCTTAACAGAGAAAATGATATATCCAAACACAAGTCTTATTTTGCGAAAAAGACCCAAAATAAGCAATTATAGCATTTCCAAAGTATCGATTTACGCCTTGAGCCCATCTTCAATCTTTCGTACGGTTGCTCTCGTAGAATGAAAAGACGCATCCAAAATACCCTCAAAGATACTAGTGTTAAAAACACTTGTAGGAATCAACTGAGTGCCAGCATTGGCACTTCCAAAAGCTGAAATTGCCAACGCTGGTTCCGTAGTGTCATTATTATATTGAAAATGAACAAGTCCTTTGGGAAAAACAAAAATATCACCTATTCTGAGGCTTTGTTTAAAAAGATTATTACTAGTATCCACAAACCCTACTTGGAGAGTTCCCGAAACAAGAAACATAAGCTCAGATGCCCGAGGATGGATGTGGACTGGATTGATCGCGCCTACAGGAAACTCGAGAACTGCATACGAAACGCTTTGTCCATTAAGTGTCGGAAGCTCGTTCATACTCACTTTCAATGCCGTAAAAGCTGTTGGATATTCGCCACCTACCAATTGACGCATCCCTGTGAACGTGAAGTTGTTGGCATCGATGATGGTGTTGTTTGGGACCACAAAATCAGCAAGGATGTCAGGATCACTGGCTATCGTTGAATAAAATATAGCAAACACAAAAACTATGCCGAGCTTTATTTCTACTTTCGAAATCATCTTAAAATTTAAATTGGTGGAAAAAAATTGGACTCCTATTTTACAAATTTGGGATTTGATTTTCTTATAAGGTGTGCCATGGAATTTGGGGATAAATTCTTTGGAGAATACAATGTTGCTCATTGAGCTGTCTTCTAGGGAGTTATGTTTATTTCTTTTGTCATTTCCGTAAAATACATTATTTTTTAAACTTGTTTGTTTGTTTTTTCTTATATTGGCATATTGTTTTTATTCTATTATGTGTTTTTAATTGAGAAGTTTACTGTTGAAAGTCTTGATGTCAATTTTCTCATCTATATATATGGAGAGACCAAGGAAACTTTTAAACCATTAAGATTATCATTCTATGTAGCAAGACTTAAAAATCTGCATCAAATAAAAGTAATATTTGTTTTCTTTTAAACAGTTAAAATTTTCTTAAAACATAGTAAGATGCTAATTAATATAAGATGTTAGATCAACAGAAACACATTACATACAAGAAATAGCAAGACAAAGGATTATGAAGTCAACAACCCAATTTACTCTAGCCTTAGTTCTTCTATTTAGATAACCAAAAGAAAAACTGAGTGACGATTTTATCAAAGATCGTCGCTTTCTTTAGTTCTTATTAAAAAAAATCCAAAATTTCCAAAAATTTAAGAGAACTCATAGGAAAGTACGACGCATCACATCAAAACACTTTCTTTGCACTGTTGAAGGAGGCGTGGAATCAATCCAACTATTGATATCAACAACTGATGCAAGCAAAAGGCACATCACAATTAAGTATCTTTTAAAATCCATTGGCCATATCAAGAACCTCCCCTTAGTTGACAATTACCAACCTTTTATCTAAAAAAACGGTTCCAAATATATACCTTTGGTTCGAAGTTGCAAATTATCATGTAAATATTGACTTACATGCCATTAAATAACGACTATTTGATGTGCTATCAAAAAATGCATGTTCAACATAAATAGATTTTATCATACGAACCTAAAGAGCATTAGTCTCCATAAAAAAGAAAAAGAAAATGAACACCCACCTCTACTTTGAAGAGAAGACATATACTAAACATAAATAGAGAAACCATGTCTAAGCCACATTTCTCTGTAGAAACCTTCATTTTCTCCATTTAATCTAAGTCAATTTCTTCTCAACAACTTCATCTCCCAAAAATATATATTTTTAAAGGATTCTAAATAATTGTTAACTGGGAGCCGAAATACAGACATAATAAATCCCCTTGCTACCAAAAAGGAAAGTTTGGTAATGAAGTTTTTAACTATTTCTTTGTGTTTTTTTTGTTTAAGACTAATTAGATCTCATGGACATACTAATACTAAGGTATATAATTTGGGCTACACCCCACAATACTAGCAATATCTTCCACTTGTGGTTGGACGACAACAATCCCCACATTAATTTAATTTTTCGAAAATTGATTTTAGATGCAAGATAAAAGCACCTAATAATCCGAACCAAACTTCTAGCATTTTCATGCGACCATTCGCCTAAGAACATTACATCGTGTATATAAAAATTAGGACACCTCCAACCCATTGTTTCCCACATTACCTCCATGAAACACATTCTTGGGAATAACTTCGTGTAAAGCAACTTGAAGGCTGAAGCTCCTGCATAACAATAATGAATAAGAATGGATAAAAAAGTATCTCCTTGACATAATCCTCTATGATATTTAAATTCACTTGTCGGAGCTTTATCTACAAAAATATATGTCAACGAAGATTTAGACAAGACCGTATCCAACCCCTCTACTTGTTACCTTCTTCTTTGCATGTTATGATTGTTTTTCAGAAATTGCAACTTTTTCTTAAAACCTATAAGGTGATTATTCGAAGTCATCCAATAGGAAATATGCGAGCTCTTAAAAACATCTTCCTATCTATCCAATAAACATAATATATGTAGCAACTCCATGAATGTGTCATGATAATTCACTGTGTTTGTCATGGGTGAAATTTGAGCTCATAAACACTAAGTTATCAAATATGAGCATTCTAAACACGATGACATGTTAAGCTTCTAATTCAATATGAGGAAAATAACTATGAGTAGATAAAAACATATATTATTTTTAGTTTTAGCCAAAGTAACAACATTTTAAGCATGTCAAGAAGTCAACTATCAGGAAAATCACCATATAAATCTAATATGATCGATATATGTTTGTGAGGTTGAAATTACTAAAGAAGTGTTTTCAAGCTATGTTTGACAGATTAGTTGATAAAAAATAATATTTGGTAAAGATTACCCGATAATGTAGCTGGAAAATATAAAATGTCATAAAAAGACATACAGAAAGATGAATTGATATTATAAAACATGTATATAATACATTTTATTAAATAAAAGTATCAACAATAATCACAAGATACCAAGATAACTCAATATTATCTATTCCTAGCTTACATGATCTTGTTGTAATTTAAAATGTTCTTATCATGTAATCAGTACTTAATATAAATAGTGGAATATACATCTCTCCATTCATTGAATATTGATTCATTAAATCCTTATATTGTATCAGACTATCTCTGATCCCTTCTCTTCATCTGATCTAACCGACCCTATCTTTCCTCACTGAAGAAGTTATGGCTGAGATTTTTGGCTTCTCCATAGCTCAAGTTATCTGGGATACGTTGGCGATTGCATACAACCACAACTCCAATCAACGTATGCAGAATCTAAAAGATTCTCACCGCCAATTACAGAAAGGTTCGTCATCTGTTTCTGACTATGGACGAAAATTTAAGTCTCTTTGTGATGAACTTGCAGCAATCGGTCAACCAGTGGAAGAAACGGATAAAACACATTGGTTTTTATGTGGTCTTGGTCCCTCTTTTGAAACCTTTTCTACTGCACATCGGGTTGTTAAGCCTAGGCCTCCCTTTCGTGATCTTATTTCTCAAGCAGAGCGTCACAAACTGTTCACGCGTTTTGTTCTTGGCACGATTGTCCTTCTGGTAGCGTTCAAGGCACAAGCCTCCGGCTCGTCTACTTCTTCAAATTGTGGAACTTCTGCACGTGGAGGCAGAGACGGTAATTTTAGTGGTCGTGGTAGGGGACGTAGATCACTACACTGCCAAATTTGCAGAACGGATGGACACTATGCAACATAGTGTCCCGACCTTTCTACATGTGCTCATCGTGGACCATCAACTGATGCAAACCTAGCTCAAGCCTTCCATGCGAAATGAAACACCCAAGAGCCTTCTTTTGATTGGTACGTGGACTCTGGAGCCTCCACATACATGAATCCATCAACTACAACTCTCACAACTTCTACTCCTTACACTGGACATGATCACATGACTTTTTGAAATGGTAATTATTTTGGTAAAAAATTGGTCAAGTACTATTCAACCAAATTGTATGAGATGATGTGGTGTTTAAAGTAATGCAAGTATCGAATAATGATCAAAGTGAGACAAGTGAGTTACAAGAAAAGTCCTTGATGCTTTATAGGATCTCCAACATAAAACCTTGGGAGGTGATAATGATCACATGCCTTGTTATTTTTATTGATTTGAATGTAAGATTACAGAAGTGGTGATGGTAATACGAATGCAAATGTACTAGTAAAGCTAATTATGTATGTAGTGTGGGGATTACATGTGTATTTATAGTCTAGACTAAACGACAATAAGTCTGATATTCCCGGGATCCTCTCGAATAAAAATGAACATGTTGGTTTGACTTGGTATTCCTAGGTATCTTGCTTGATTGAAGTACTTCCTCATTGAGAATAAGTCTCATGTTGACTAATTCTGTACATGTGAGAAAAAGAAATAGAAATATATATGTTAAAAGTGTTAAGAAATAATAACGATAATGATCAGGATCCTGATGTATGTTTAAGGATCCTGAGGCTTCGTTTACATCAAGGATCCTGAATATGGTTCTGGGATCCCGCCCCTAACAATTGCCCCCAAATTATACCTGTAGGATATTTAGGTTAATCTTAAATATTAAAGGTTTAATTTTAAGTAAATAAAGATAACGAATTTGAATTTCAAACCCTAACGGATAAAATTTATCCGTTCCATGAGCATCATTATGCAGTCAAATCATCTTCTCTCTACTCTATCACCAGGATAAATAGGGGCAATCGGTTCGAGATTTTCTTTACCTTCCCCAGTTTTTCTCTCAATTATCTCCGGTCACCTTCAAAAGGTAATTTCTTTTTCCCCTTTTCCTTTCGTTTTCCTCCTTTTCCGATCATGGGCAAGAAAATCACTCGTTCTCGTGCTAGCATACTTCCTCCTTCTGATGATGACTTCACTGATCAAAAGATCATGGCTCATGACGAGTCATGCTCTTTCGACAATGAGGATATTCAATCTTTGAAGACTAATGATGTTTTTCCCGATGGTGTTGTTTTCAAATCCTTCGATGCTTCGGTTCAGCCAGATTTTGTCTCACCCACCTGGGTTTGCTTCCCGGAATACCCTTTTTCTCTGGTATCATCTCTGAAGGTTTGCTTCCCGGAATACCCTTTTTCTCTGGTATCATCTCTGAATTCTTTGAGGTTACCCAACTCTCCTACATCCAGGTTATGCCAACGGTTTGGAGGATCGTTTATTGGTTCGATCACCTAAATCAGTCCAAGAATTTGGACATTGGTTTATGCGAGTTAGCTTCTATTTATGAGCTTTCCACCTTTGTTTCCTATCGTTTTTTGTTCAAGGTCAAATCAAACAAACCACTCCTTGTTCTAAAATCCAAGCATAACGACAGTGCTTGGAAAGAAAAGTTTTTCTTTTTGAGACGCGATTCAATCCCTAATGGAAGTTCCTTACCAGAGAGATGGGTTAAATAGGGTAGGATTTTTTTTGGTATTTTTTAGGGATCCTAGGATTTACTTTCTTATTTTGTTTGTTGTGATACAGCGTTCAAGTTTGAGGATCTTGCTCCCGCTGCTAAAGATATGGAAGATAAGATAGCAAGTTTTCTCGCTTTGTCTGAGCCCGACATATCTTTTTTGATTCGA